GTAAAGTTACAATTTTCAAAACAGAAAGTGAAATATGAGAGACTAATTTTAAATTCCATAAAATTTAAAACTATATAAGAAATCCTGTCTTTTTTATAAAAACATGGATGGACCTAGAGATTATTATGTTAAGTGAAATAAACCAGGCACAGAAAGCCAAGTGCTATGTGACCTTGCTCATATCTGAAATATAAAAAAAAGATTATCTTATAGAAATTGAAAGTAGGATGATGGTTATTAAAAGCTGAAGAAAGTAGCAAAGAAATTTGCAGATAGGCTGGGAAAAGGTTGGTCAGTGAGTACTAAGCTGCAGTTAGGTGGAAGTGAAAAATTCTAATGTGCTGTTGTGATTTTGTACCAAATATCTTAGAAAGCTAGAAGAAAGTATATTGAATGATCTTACTATAAAGAACTGATGAAGATTTGAGGCAACACATAACTTTAAACTGAAGAAGCATCACATGGCACTCCATTAATTATGGACACTTTTGTTCTTTTTAGCATCGTTAAAAAATAAAATTTAAATTACAAATTACTATCATCACAAAATAAAAATCTGTTATCTTTGTCACTAAGCCTAAACAGTCAAATATATCCAGTATTTTAATAGAGTGTGGAGATTACATTTTTTCCTCTTTTATCATGTATCAACAATGCTGAAAAATATATGCTGTTATTCTATTCCTTTACAAAAGCACTGTGAGACGGGTTCAAAGGCTCAAAACTATCTCTAGAAAAAAGAAGAAAAAAGACCTAGAAACACTGGATTTTTTTCCAGATCTGGTACAAGGGTTTTCTGTAATCTCTTTTCTCCTAAGATATTTCTTCTTGGGACTATAATAAACATCTCCATGGCGAATTCAATTTTTATTCATGCATCACATGCGCACCCTATTCACTTTCTTACACATCTTCAAGATGGAGAGAAGAAACCACAAAAAAACCATCACTACTGGCTCTCAGGGAAGAGAGGGAGCCAGCTCTCCACTGTATGTTTTCCTGAGTGGAGAGCCCTGTGAAGGCCGGGATGTATGGCCTGAGCATTAAGCCAAAAAAGAGTACAGAGCTTTCAACAAGCTAATCAAGTCGTCATGTGAAAACCACACTTCTGCCACTTCCAAAAGAGTGGTGCAGGCTTTTGGGCCTGCCTGAGTCTTGCCATCCCTGCTGCAAGATAGCTTAGCAAAGCTGAATTGTGAGCAGTCACGTCAGCTGCCAGTAGTTGGAAAAGAAATGGGACGGAGAGAGTGCTTTCTCCCAGCCTGGCCTGACAGGGATATTGTTAATGTCTTTCTGAAAGCAAGCTGGAGGACTAAATACCATCACTAAACTTTGCAGCTAGAATCTAAGACAAAGTGCGTTCCACCCAGAAATTTAGAGACCAACAGAAAAGCTTTTCAGATGTTGCACACCGTTATGGGCTCAGTTAGGTCTCCTTCCCTTCGAATGTGTACACTAAAGTACTAACTCTCTGTGCCTCAGAATAAGACCATATTTGGAGACAAGGTCTTTATAATGGTAATCAAGTTATAATGAGGTCTTTATGGTAGGGTCTACTCCAGTACAACTGGCATCTTTAGAAGAAGAGGAGTTGGGCCCTAGAAACACACGGAGAAGACAGCTGCGCATCCACCAGGGATGAAACATCAGAAGAAACCCAGTCTGCAGACCATGCTGACCTTGGACTTCTAGCCTCCAAAACTGTGAGCAATTCCTCACAGCTGCTCAAACCACTCGGCTTTCTGTACTCTTTCATGGCAGCCCTAACAAGTGCGTACGAGAACCAATAGCCCAAAGATTTTAGGGTAAAGTCAGATCTCGACCTTAAAGCTAAGGTGTGGAGGAGGATTCCTCTTGAGCTCGCCACTCCACTCAGTCTCTTGCTCTGGACAAGCCGTCCCCCGACTGGCTCCAGCAGTGAACACGTGTAAGCACCTCACTAGAGGAGTTGCTCTTCTGCTCCATATAAAGGGTATTTATTTTTGGTGAAGGACTGGTACCTGGTGCTAAACACCATGTGTGAGTTTTTAATCTGCGTCCCTGAATTCCAGACTTGCTGCCTGCATTGTTGTTGTTAGCCTTCAAAGTTGGCATCCAGCCCCAGGAGTCAGATCCCACTACAGACTTGCAGCCCATTGCTAACTCTGTCTCAGAGCCGGCTGTGCATCTGACTTCACAACCCTATTCTTCATTCCCTTTCAATTCCTTGAACTTGGAAAGGGTAGTGTAACAGGCAATGTAAGTTCTGTCAGAAACTCATTATAATGAGTATATACTGCGCCTCTATAATCCTAGCACTCTGGGAGGCCGAGGCAGGAGGATCAACTCCAGTAAAATCTCAGCAATTTAACCACTTAATGAGATCCAGGGCCAGGGATGGAGTTAGGCATAAAGGCCCTGGGTTCAATCCTCTGTACTATGAAAGAACAAAAAAGGAGGAGGAGGAGAAGGAGGAGAATAGGAAGGAAGGAGGAAGAGGCGGGGAAAGAAACTATTGAAATTCATTCAGAAATTTGCTCTGCATTAATTTTACATAATTTTCTAATTCAAGTAGTGTCAGAGAAAGGAGGACCTTCGAATCCACAAAATGTTTATAAAGTTCTTTTTATAGATAACATGATCATAGAGTCCACTTGAAGTCACTGAGAAATACAGAATATGTCATTAGGCTACTAAGTTTAAAATCAACTCCTCGTTGCTTTTAACCTCAACAAGAAATGATTTCAAAATACTATGATGATGATAATATAAATTGTTGTAAATTGTTGTCTGTTAAGCATTTTTTTCCTCTATTAAAAACTCAAATCTACTACTTTTTTTCTGATGGGTTATTGGTACTCTTAGTTGTCAGGGAAAATTTTTGTTCTTATGAATAAACAGGATTTTAAAGAATATGATTTTATACTATTTTCAGAAAAACCAGTTAAGTATAGACATACTTAATTGAACATCCAAGCCTTGTTAGAAAGTTTCAGAAAAGAATAAATTCCTTTCAAAGCTTTACATAACTTTAATTTTGGATTGTTACAAATAGCAATCAATGGTCCTATTTAAAACAGGAAGCTCAAAGGGGGAAGGGTAGGGGAAAGGTAATAAGGGAAAAATATTTTAAAATATATTTAAAACTGTGAGAAAATGCAAAAATGGAAATAAAGTGTTTGTAAATGGGGAGGGGATAAGAAAGAGAGTGAAGGAAGGGCAAGGACAGGGGAAAAAATGAGAACCAAGACCTGTCATGTAAAGGTACAAGTTCCCAGTGATGGATATAACTGCACTGTATACCTAAAATGTACCAATAAACTCAATGAAAGAGAAAAAAATAAACAACAGGAAGCTCAGGTCGATGGCAGGGTTTTACCAAGAATGATACATGACCCAGTATAATTTAAAGAAATTCTTAAAAAGCTGAAACCATCTTAACTGTTTCTTGTGATCCAGAGGGAAGCTTAGAAGGCTCTTATTCCAAAAAGATTTCCTAGCATTGCTATGATTTTTATAGAAAATACTTAAATTCAGAAAGTTCAATAGTTTTTTTTTTTTTTAATTGAGTTTATTGGTACATTTAGGGATACAGTACAGTTACATTCATTGTTGGGATCATGTACCTTTACATGGCAAGTCTTGATTCTCATTTTTTCCCCTTACCTCTGCCCTCCCTTCACCCCCTCCTCCCCTCCCCATCTACAAACACTTTATTTTCATCTTTTCATTCTCTCACATTTTTTTCTTTTCCCTTTTTGTTCTTCCCCTACGTATCACACCTTCCCTACACCTTTAGCTCCTTTCCTCCCATTTCTAAATGTCAGTAATCTTATTAGAATCTTATGCATTGTTGCAGAATATTCACACCAGGGAAACTATTTGGTATTTACACATGTGTGACTTATTTATTTCACTTAGGAGTATATCTTCAATATGTATCCATTTTCCTATGAATGAATCTATTCTCTCGCTCTTTATGGCTGAGTAATATTCCATTTTATAGAAAAACCACAACTTCTTTATCCAGTTTCCAACGGATGGGCAAATAGGTTGTTTCCAAGATTTAGCTATTACAAACTGTGCCGCTATAAACATGGGTGCACATACTTCTCTGTGATATGATTCTTTTAGTTCTCTTGGAAAGATACCCAACAGAGGGATGGCTGGGTCAAATGGAACCTCCAGTCCAAGCTCTTTGAGGTATCTCCATATTGATTTCCATAGTGGTTGCACTAGTCTACACTCCCACCAACAATGGAGGAGGGTTCCTTTCTCCCCACAACCCCGCCAACATTTGTTATTGTGTGATTTCTTGATAGCAGCCATTCTTTGTGGGGTGAGGTGGAATCTCAGTGTTGTTTTCATCTGCATCTCTCGAATGACCAGTGATGTGGAACATTTTTTCATATATTTTCTTGCTGCTTTTACTTCTTTGTATGAGAAATGTCTGTTCATTTCGGATGCCCATTTTTGGATCGGGTCTTTATATTTGGGGGGACTGATTGTTTTGAGTTCTTTATATATCCTTGATAATAGTCCTTTGTCTGAGGTACAGCTGGTAAAAATTTTTTCCCACATTGTAGATTGTCTCTTAGTTCTGCTAATGGTTTCTTTTGAAGTACAGAGTCAATAGTTTTTTTTTAAGGAAAACAACTTTTGTATAAATTTTTTATCAGTAAGTCAATTATAACACTGGACTGACAATTTGTTTTTTTTAAATCAACTAAACAACATGACACCTTGAAAAATATAATTTTTATTTTTATCTCAAAATAAGGTCAGTGTAGAGGTGCCTGTTTACAAACTTTCCTCACTTAAATGGATTTAATATAAAATAATATTTCCAGAACTAATTAACTATTTTGTTCTAATGATTATTCAAAATCAAAATGTGTTATATTTGCAGTACAGTATATAGATTTTCAAATCATCCACAAAGGTAATTATGGGGATTTTTTTAATTCTCAAAAAGTTATATATTGTTATTGATGGCAAATAATTTGTTTGCTTCCTCTTAGGCCATGATTGAAGAAGCCATCACCAGAACGGAATCTTTCTCAGTTATGTATACACCGTTTGCAACAAAAATAAGAGCTGATAAAATAGAAAAAGTGAAAGAGGTGTTCACAAAAACTCATCCTGCGTATGCAGAGTATATCTACACAGGTAAGATTCAATGCCTGGAAGTTATCAGCTGATACTTTACTTCCCTGAAACAAATACAGGCCCTTTGTAACTGATTTGTTTGTTGTTTCTGTTTTAGGGTTAAGCTGTTTTAATCTGACCTGTTGAAATGAGAAGCTATTTTTAGGGATTTAGGTAGGACTGGCCTTAGATGTCCAATATTCTTGTACCTTCACATTTCCATCTTTAAAAAGCAAAGGGATAGAACCTAGAAATCTAAGGTTTCAAACAAAAATGAAGGAAAGACCTATGATAAATGTCATCTCTCTCAACACCCTTTATCAGTTACACTAGCAATGGCCTGAGGATGGATTTCCTTCTCAATGCCACTATATCTACTTCCCTTCCACCTTTAGCTCACCCTTGAGAACTCTCTTTCCTAATAATTTTGAATTGTTGTTATCCAAGTGAGATCTGGACACCAAGAGTACCATGGAGGACACGTACTGATATCCTACCTCCTTCTTTTTGTCTTTAGAAGTAACTAAATGAACAGCCACACATCAATGATTATCATCTTAAGAAAAATATCTAAATGCACACAGCTAATTCCACACCCTCTTATTAAGGTCCTCCCAATCCCTTTTTTCAGATTGGAGTCATTGATTTATAGGATTAATAACATCCTCTACAAATAATCACTTTTAAAGTGCCATACACTTCACATATCATGTCTTGATACTTCTATAATTTATGAGGCAAAGTGATTAGCCCTGGGGAAAAACACACAGTTACAAAAAGCTTTCTCAAAGATGCACAGCAGATTGGACATGGATTTGAACCCATGTCCTTGCCATACAGCTGCACTGTCTCCCTGCAATGGAAGCATTAAATGTAGCTCCTGTGGAGTCTTATTTTTCTCCACCATGACTCAAGTTCTTCAGGGAGAAGATACTAGATAAATCCAGCCAGTAGGAAAAAATAAATCTCTAAGGAACACAGGGAGCTGAGCACAGAGAAAGAAAAGAGAAGAATGCAAGTAAGAATGTGTGTTATAATTGCCACTAATGACAATTTCCTCAGCTTGAACATTTTAGAAGAAAGTAGATTAAAAATTCCTCGGAACTCAGTTTGTTAATTGCTACAGTTTTTATTTTTTAGGAATATTTAAGGGTGTTTTGTTTAAAGGGGGCTCACATCAACAAAATAAGTCCACTTCAGCCACTTCCATTTCTACTCAGATCCATTGGTAACAAAGGAGTTCATTGAGATCACTAGTTTGCCAGATTCTCTTCTGGTAGAATGAGTTTAGTTATATTTAACCCACTTCAAAGAGAAGTCATGACGATTAATTAATGCTTAGGAAGTACTATTGCTACTGAGAGTTTTTAAAACAATAATAACATTAATGAGCCCGACTCATGTCTCGTGTAACTCCATCAAACCCATTATCAAGATGAATTATGATCTGCTGGCAAGACGATTCATGCTAAAGGATCTTCTACCTTGGAAGAGAAGATAATTATAAGTTGGTAATTATTGTTTCTGTTATTTTATAATTAGTAATTGCTAGAGTATGACAGTGCGACATGAGAACCTAGAGGGAAAGACACAGCCTCTGGAGGGAGAACAGGAGGTAGAGAAAGCAGCCTAGAATTTAAATTTCACGAAGCTGGTAAAGTAGCGTTCTCTATGGAAACAGTGCTTCAGCACCAAGCTATTGAAGGGGTGACATTATTTGTCTCTGTTGTAAAGAAGCAAAGGATTTTCCCCAAACCATGTTCTGGGATAAAGGTGAAAAACTATTGCTGCTTATATGCACAGTTTTAGAGGTGTGGCTGCTTTTTCCCCCAGACACTTGAAAGTGAGGGCACAGAGCATGGAAAGAGAGGTCGAGTGTTTCCTTTATCACCTAGATATCTCTCCCATGGGGAACATCTTCGATGAGCAATTTACTTATCAAAGTTTCATTGGAGAAGTGAGTCGTAGAAGATCAGAACTACAAGAGTCACTGTTTTCTTAATGAAAAAGGCGAAGTCACAACAGATCCGAAAGAAATCCAGAGGATCATGAACACCTACTTTGAGAACCTGTACTCTAATAAAATGGAAAACACAGAAGAAATGGACAGATTTCTAGATACTTATGAATTACCAAAGTTGAACGAAGAAGATAAAAACATTTTAAACACCCCAATCACAATCAGTGAAATTGAAAATGTAATTAAAAACTTACCAACAAAGAAAAGCCCAGGCCCTGATGGATTCACTGCTGAATTTTACAAGACATTTAGAGAAGAACTACTACCATTACTCTTCAAACTTTTCAATGAAATTGAAAGAGAAGCTATACTTCCAAATTCATTCCTGGAAGCAAGTATCACTCTGATTCCCAAACCAGAGAAAGATACAACCAAAAAGGAGAACTACAGACCAATCTCCTTAATGAATATAGATGCAAAAATCCTTAATAAGATACTAGCAAACAGAATACAGAGGATTATTAAGAAGATCATCCATCATGACCAAGTCGGATTTATTCCAGAGATGCAAGGGTGGTTCAACATACGAAAGTCAGTGAATGTAATACATTATATTAACAAAGTCAAGGACAAAAACCATATGATCCTCTCAATAGATGCAGAAAAAGCATTTGATAAAATTCAACACCCATTCATGATAAAAACCCTGCAAAAAATTGGAATAGATGGTCTATACCTCAATTTAATAAAGGCTATTTATGAAAAACCATCAGCCAACATCATATTGAATGGCCAAAAACTGAAAACCTTCATGTTAAAATCAGGAACAAGACAAGGATGCCCACTATCGCCACTTCTCTTCAATATAGTTCTGGAAACATTAGCCACAGCAATTAGACAAGAGAAAGAAATTAAAGCAATAAAGATAGGAAAGGAAGAAGTTAAACTATCATTATTTGCTGATGATATGATACTCTACATTGAAGATCCAAAAAACTCCACCAAAAAACTTCTAGACTTAATTGACAGATTCAGTAAAGTATCTGGATACAAGGTGAATACCCAAAAATCAATAGCCTTTCTATACACAAATAACAGACAGACAGAAAGAGAAATAAGGGAAAAAATTCCTTTTACAATAGCATCCAAAAAAATGAAGTATCTAGGAATCAATCTAACAAAAGAAACAAAAGATCTCTACACTGAAAACTACAGCACTCTGAAAAAAGAAATCGAAGAGGATATAAAAAAATGGAAAGATATCCCCTGCTCCTGGGTAGGAAGAATCAACATAGTGAAAATGGCCATACTACCGAAACTGCTATATACATTCAATGCAATGCCAATTGAAATTCCAACACTATATTTCACAGAACTAGAAAAAAGAATCCAAAAATTCATTTGGAACCACAAGAGACCTAGAATAGCAAAAGCCATTATAGGCAACAGTCACATGGCACCAGGTGTAACAATTCCCAATTTGAAACTATACTACAAAGCCACTGTGATAAAATCAGCATGGTACTGGCAAAGAAATAGGCCTGAGGATCAATGGAACAGACTGGAAGACACAAAAACAAATGCAGATGTACTCAGCTACCTCATCTTCGACAAAGGAGCTCACCATCCTCAGTGGAGGAAAGATAGCCTCTTTAATAAATGGTGTTGGAAAAACTGGATATCAACCTGTCACAGATTAAAATTAGACCCTTATCTTTCGCCATGCACTAAATTAAAATCCAAATGGATTAAAGATCTAAATATTAAAACAGAAACATTAAACTTGCTGGAAAGTAAGTTAGGCAGAACTCTGGAAGACATTGGTATAGGAAAAGACTTTATGAACAAATCCTCAGTAGCACGGGAACTAGCAGAAAGAATCAACAACTGGGATCTCATCTTACTAAAAAGCTTCTGTACTTCAAAAGAAACCATTAGCAGAACTAAGAGACAATCTACAATGTGGGAAAAAATTTTTACCAGCTGTACCTCAGACAAAGGACTATTATCAAGGATATATAAAGAACTCAAAACAATCAGTCCCCCCAAATATAAAGACCCGATCCAAAAATGGGCATCCGAAATGAACAGACATTTCTCATACAAAGAAGTGAAAGCAGCAAGAAAATATATGAAAAAATGTTCCACATCACTGGTCATTCGAGAGATGCAGATGAAAACAACACTGAGATTCCACCTCACCCCACAAAGAATGGCTGCTATCAAGAAATCACACAATAACAAATGTTGGCGGGGTTGTGGGGAGAAAGGAACCCTCCTCCATTGTTGGTGGGAGTGCAGACTAGTGCAACCACTATGGAAATCAATATGGAGATACCTCAAAGAGCTTGGACTGGAGGTTCCATTTGACCCAGCCATCCCTCTGTTGGGTATCTTTCCAAGAGAACTAAAAGAATCATATCACAGAGAAGTATGTGCACCCATGTTTATAGCGGCACAGTTTGTAATAGCTAAATCTTGGAAACAACCTATTTGCCCATCCGTTGGAAACTGGATAAAGAAGTTGTGGTTTTTCTATAAAATGGAATATTACTCAGCCATAAAGAGCGAGAGAATAGATTCATTCATAGGAAAATGGATACATATTGAAGATATACTCCTAAGTGAAATAAATAAGTCCCACATGTGTAAATACCAAATAGTTTCCCTGGTGTGAATATTCTGCAACAATGCATAAGATTCTAATAAGATTACTGACATTTAGAAATGGGAGGAAAGGAGCTAAAGGTGTAGGGAAGGTGTGATACGTAGGGGAAGAACAAAGAGGGAAAAGAAAAAAATGTGAGAGAATGAAAAGATGAAAATAAAGTGTTTGTAGATGGGGAGGGGAGGAGGGGGTGTAGGGAGGGCAGAGGTAAGGGGAAAAAAATGAGAATCAAGACTTGCCATGTAAATACATGATCCTAAAAAGAGAGTAACTGTTTTCTTGGCACTTCTCAAAAATGAGGATTCTTATCACATTTGTAGTTTATGTAATAAATATTCGTGCAACCAGAGTACTGTACAATAATACAGCAGGTGTGTGCAAACATAAAATGCT